ATCCCCCCTCCAGTGGCACAGCGGTATATCTGCGGACTTACAACGCTAGAAACCGGGTTTCGATACCCGTGGTGGGCAGAGCACAGATAACCCACTGTATAGTTTTTTGGTTAACTTCAAACAAACATTATCTGAAATAATCTGCAAGGAAAGAAGGAAAGCCGTTTTAATTTCCTCGGTGTTACGATGGTAACCGAGTTTTGGTGTTAAAGTAAACATAGAACTTATTTATAAAACATGCAGACAGATAACAGTGGCCTAACTATAGGTGGCGTATTTAGGGTACCTGCCCCAGACCCCCTCAAAAATGGTATTTGAAAATTTTAATAGTGGAATTGAGGGGAAATATTCTGAAACACTGAGAAAGTTTTAATTGGGGACAGGCCAACAAGGAGCCCCTCAAAATTGGTATATACAATTTTGAAACATTGAATAAAAGTTTTAATAGGGGTAGTGCAACCAACTTTTTTGTCCCCGGGTCCTTTGAAACCTAATTACGCTACTAATAGATAGATAGACAAATTAGTTTACTTTGCTGTCAGATATGTGTAAGAGTATCGTTGTTTACTAAAACTGACCTGTAATATTTCATCACATTTGTTAAAAACAATAGTTTCAAGCGATGACTGGGTACTTTGCTCTGTGTGTAGATGACTCTTTTGTAATTTGTTTTTTTTTATTACTTTCTCAGTATTGCACATAAGAGCTTAGAAATCAACGTAAACTAACAATTTCCCTTCTTTATGTGTGGCTGGTAATTGACGTATACGACCATCAATCAACTTTATAATGTTAATATATCTACGTCGTTGTGTTATTAGGTAATAAAATTTCCCTCCAGTTTAACAGAAACCTTCATTTACCACTCAAAGCAATGGAAGCAAAAGAAACTTCTATAACATTTTCCCCCCTCAAAACAATTCTACCTTGCAATATCTGTTTGTAATCTCGATTAGGCACGGCGCCATAAATGAGAGGTGTCACCCCGTCGGAGAGCGATAAGTCTAGGTACTTACAACGCTAAAATCCGGTGTTCCATTTCTCGCGGTGGATAGTGCGGATAGCTCCGTGTGGCTTTGGTCTGAAACAAACATAAACGAGAAAAAAAAATTCCGTAGTGTCATCTACTGTGAATTTTGAGAAACATAAAATGATTCAATGAGCTCATTCTTATAATAGCGTCAATTGTAGATAGCATTTAATTTCGTAAAGATCGTAAGGCGTGATAAATTTAGCAATGTTTAATAAAAAAGTCTTAAAAACTAATTAAAGAAAATTACATTTACGATTTAAGAACGAAAATTTCGTAAGTTATCTTAAAACTAAATTGAATTTAAAATGTCTTAAAAACTTAAAAATTAAGATAATAAACACTTTGTAAAGAAGATTTTCCGAACAAATAATTATAAATTAATTAGCAGATGATTAAAACAATAATTGGCGTGCGAGAATTGGTTCAAGAAAATATATAATCTGAGTGGTGGAAATACTAACACAAATCCACTATAATAGGGAAATAGTAAAAATTCAGTTTAAAAAGTGTATAAAACTAAGAAAATTTAAATGACTCCAATATGACTAAGAATGATGTTCTATAAACCCACTAGGAACAGTGAGGAATACGAATCAACCTATAAACGTAGACGTTACAGTGGTACTCTAGAGAACACTGTAGAACAGATCAGTAAGAAATACGGAACAAGCTATAACCGTAGACGTTACAATTATATTATAGTGAACAATAGTAGAATCGTCCAGTGAGAAATACGAAACAAGCTATAACCGTAGACGTTACAATTATATTATAGAGAGCAATAATAGAATCGTCCAGTGAGAAATACGAAACAAGCTATAAACGTAGACGTTACAATTATATTATAGAGAACAATAATAGAATCGTTCAGTGAGAAATACGAAACAAGCTATAAACGTAGACGTTACAATAGTACTCTAAAGTACAGTGAAGAACAGCTCAGTGAGAAATACGGAACAAGTTATAACTGATTCTTCAGTTTGTTTCATATAGTGTTGTTAGTAGCTAGCACTATATTATTATTTTATGGTGTTAATAGGTAACACATTAGTTACTGTTGTTTGCATGTTGTCAGTAGCTAACGCTTTAGTTATAGTTAATGTCGTGTTGCCCATTATCCTCTAGCGTTTTATCTTATGTTCCTGTCAGTACCAATTTCATCTAGTCTTTCATCTTTTGTTCTTGTCAGTATCAATTTCATCTAGTCTTTCATCTTTTGTTCTTGTCAGTATCAATTTCATCTAGTCTTTCATCTTTTGTTCTTGTCAGTATCAATTTCATCTAGTCTTTCGTCTTATGTTCTTGTCAGTACTAATTTTATCTAGTGTTTTATCTTATGTTCTTGTCAGTACTAATTTCCTCTAGTATTATATCTTATGTTCTTGTCAGTACTAATTTCCTCTAATATTATATCTTATGTTCTTGTCAGTACTAATTTTATCTAGTGTTTTATCTTATGTTCTAGTCAGTACTAATTTCATCTAGTATTTTATCTTATGTTTTTGTCAGTACTAATTTCCTGTGTTACCGAAACTATCCGGCTGTACGTAATAATAAAAGTTTACCTTTCATTGTGTCAAAAAAAACAACAACAAAACCGTCGGTTTTTGTGTTTTCTACTCTTAATCATAATAAATTTGCCACACTCTCGTAAAATCAACACACGGGGTTTCGTTCCTTACATATTATCTCGTCACTACAGCGTAAAACCCTGTTAACAAGAATAAATACGCTATACTCTGGTAATACAACGCAGAAGCTTTTGTTTCATAAATGATCTCATATTTTACTCCACACGTGCGTTTAAGATGCTTTCGTCGGTGATTACGTGGATTTTTGTCAGAGCACGTGGTCGAGGGAATTACCACTTTAAGATTTGTTATATGGGATCACTAAAATGGATTTTTGTAAGGCACTAGCCCATTACCTTTCCCATGTAATATGTAAGAAAAGGCTGTTATTACTCTGGTGTTACTTAAGTGCTAGTCTGAGAATGGGGGGAGGTTCTAGCTCTATTACATTGTCATTTGAATCTTCCCCTGCCCAAGAAAAAAAAACTCTATCGGTTATAAACATCTGCATCATTATAACTGAATAATTCCCTGAGAGAATCTCTTATAATGTTGAGCTGATGGGTTGAATAGACCACGTAACACGGTTTCTCCTACGTTGTTCTTTAAGATTACAGTAGCTTAGGACTTCAGCATAAAAACATTCATTTCAGACTGTCTGTAGAAATGTTGTGACTTCAGATTTAATTTCTATATCTGTTCCTCATCTAATTAATGCTGGTTAGATCCATCGACAATATAAGATTGATATAGAAGGATGATACAAGGAGTGATGAGGAAGAGAAAAATCGTGAATATGAGCTTGATAGAGAATGAAGAGACAAGGAGTGATGAGGGATAGAAAAATCGTGAGTATGAGATTGATAGAGAAGGAAGAGACAGGGAGTGATGAGGAAGAGTAAAATCGTGAATATGGGCTTGATAGAGAAGGAAGAGACAGGGAGTGATGAGGAAGAGAAAAATCGTGAATATAGCTTGATAGAGAAGGAAGAGACAAGGAGTGATGAGGAAGAGAAAAATCGCGAATATGAGCTTGATAGAGAAGGAAGAGACAAAGAGTGATGAGGAAGAGTAAAATCGTAAGTTATCTTCATGAACTATCATTGGTCAGCAACAGCCTGCCTCTAGACGTTTGTAATTTTGTTTCATCCGAAGTGTAAAAGTGATCACACTAACATTTATTATCAACTACACAAACGTGTGTAGAAATAACAAATACTGAAAACTGCATATCATTTAAAGAAAAGTGAAGATCAAAGTTCGAGACACACATTCCGTTAGCTGGCAAGCCTATTGTAGTTTTTTTTATATAATTCGCGTAACGTTTAGTTCTCACTAAAAAAACAAAAATCCTATGCTAGAAATAGCAATTAAACACATTTTGTGCCTGTTGACTGTTTGATGTTTTTAACGCAAAGCTAAACAAGGGATTATTTAAACTCTGTCAACTTTCAGGATTCGAACCCCGGATTTAAGCGTTGTAACTCCGTAAACTTAACGCTGACTCACCGGGGGAGGATTAAAAATATGAAAGATATTATTCTGTAATAGTAATGTCCTTCAAAGTTGTTGCTATGTTTCGGATATTATGGTGTTTTTAATTATCATCCAATGATAATTGCGAGTCGAGTGCCCTAACCACCAGGCTAGGCATCCCTCCTGAAAAAAAAAGAAAAAAAAGAATGATTAATGTGCTGATAAATATCAGCTCATATATCATGCTTCGGTAATCTCGAGCTACGTAGCCTAGAACAGACGTGAATAATTCAGTATCTCTGTAAACACCTGGTGGGTACGCTTCCGTTACAGTGTATCTTATAATAACGTACCGCGTTGACTCGAAAAATATCCACTAACAGACCGGAAAACGGCTCATAAAACATATTAGATAAAAAAAAAAAAATGCTTGACTGATTCTCGTGGCGCAATTAATTGTTTATGTTGTTGACACGATGTCATAACGGGACCATCGCCGTGTTATGATCTAAGTAAATACACATATTTTGAAATACCGCGGAATTAATCTGGCATAGTGCGTGGGAATAGATAATTTTTTTCAGCAGGGCAAATTCGGGTTGAAATGTTATAAAAGTTCAGAAAAAAATAAATTCTGTGTATTTACAGGTACTACGCCATTATTCATCCAGTCAGATCCCGCTACATGTGTACCACGAGTCAAGCTCGCCGGATCATCATTACTATCTGGATTCTGTCTTTGGTATTTGCTGTTCCGATAATATTTGTTCAGGTAAGAGCTTGTCTACCAGATAGATATATAGATAGATGGATAAAAGAGTCTCTTTAAGAAGTGATTGAGCAGAACAGCTTTGAATTTTCCTTCTTATGTTAACCCTACACCACATTTTTCAAACAAAGCTATAAAACATTCCTACCTTTCCTCGTGGTTCCATACGATCCATTAAGAGAACTGTAAGAAAATCAAAACGTTGATATGGCCGTTTAAAAATAGTTTCAGTTGTAATTCGGATGAGTGAACTGATTGGTTTATGTAATACACGTTAGAAGTAACGAACCCTAAAAATAGTTAATTTATCATTCAAGGATATAAGATTTAATCCAACTTCTTCAGATATATATAAAGTATTTATTATCATTCAAGGATGTAAGATTTAATCCACCTTCTTCAGATATATATAAAGTATTTATTATCATTCAAGGATGTAAGATTTAATCCACCTTCTTCAGATATATATAAAGTATTTATTATCATTCAAGGATGTAAGATTTAATCCAACTTCTTCAGATATATATAATTTATTTATTAATAAAGGATGTAAGATTTAATCCAACTTCTTCAGATATATATAAAGTATTTATTATCATTCAAGGATGTAAGATTTAATCCAACTTCTTCAGGTATATATAAAGTATTTCTATTAACCCAATGAACTTTCCTACAAACAAATTCTATAAAAATGTTTTGAAAATTAGTAATAAAATTCTTAGTCGGTTCTAATACCTAAAATCTGTGCCACATAATGCTACTAATAATTTGATTAAGAATTAAGATTTCAATTTTAATGATAAAAAAGGTTGAAAACGCTTCCAGACTAAAAAGTTTACTACATTTCTCTTTTAATTCATCCCAGTTTCTCTGAATCCATACCAAAGAATTTCCTAAACACACACCAAGTACTTTTATTCTTTATTCGACCATGTAAGCCTAGTTTATTTTCTGTTCGTGTTTTTCAAGCGCCAGACCATAAACTAAGGGATCTTTCTTCGTTAAACTTTGACTCCGAATATTCTACAAATTTCTTTATTGTATTTTGAACAGCATTAAATTCTGACTCAGTCTAATATAAGTGTTTATATCGTCAGCATAAGATGATAGAATGAGTCGTTGATGATAACTGAAACTTGATATTGAGCTTAAGGAACTAATATTTTTTCTTAAATTATAAAGAAAAGGTTCTATTGCTAGTGTAGATAAAGAACCACTTATTGGATCTCCTTATCTTACAAAGGAGTAGCTGAAGTTGAAACCAACCCATGAACTACATAAAATATGGAATTTTTATACATTGTGTCAACCGCCTTTATAATATTCCCGCCAAAACCAAATTTTCTGAGTATATCTTTTTAAATAATTATGATTTATGAGGTCCAAGGCTTTTTCAAGATCTAAATTTACAATAGTTAAACGTTCGTTATTTTG